AGCCAGCAGCTGTCTGAGTGAAGAAATGCCTCTAGCTCCAGTGGGCCGGGAGCAGGAGGCAGAGCTGGACCCCAAGGTGGAGGGTCTTTCACCCAGCTCCTAGAACCTGGCACTTTGCACTTGGACTTAACACCTCCAAATTGTAAGAATAAACTCCTGTTTGTTAAGGCCATCCCATTTGTGGTATATTTCTTGTCAGAGTGGCACGAGGTAACCAGAACACTTGCCTAGAGGAAATTTAATCTTCTGGAAGTTTGACTACACTGGAAACAAACTCAGAGAGTGCACCTCCCATATTGGTGGTTCCCAAGGCCTTGCAGTTAACCAAAACCAAACACACTGCCATTGAGTCAGGCTGGGCCATCAGTAAACAGGTTAAGTTTTGTGCCTTGGCCTCTAACTCTCCCCTCCGCAAGAGGCATACTCTAAACTCCGATCAGTTATTCAAGCATGTATTGACAATTTTATCAGAGCAAGATTGGGACTCTGAAGAGGGTTGAGAGGAACCAACTGCAAATTTTACCTCATTTATAAATAAATGATCAGTTAAAAATGTCCTCTGTGGCCACTTTAGATGAGCAGCATAAGTTGAAGAACTGTTTATCTTTTACCCTTCTTTTTAATGTCAATAGTCAATGATTAAGTACCTATACTGGGGGTACTTGCACTTTGTTGTTGCTGTTTTTTAAAAAAATATTTTAAAATTAGCATTCCCTTAAAAAAAATATGAGAAAGTGTTAATGTTGTGCTTTAAAACTTGTCGTGCATGGAAGCATTTCATGTTTCTGACACAGTGTACATCAAAATGTAAACTCTGGACCGGCCAGTTTAAGGCTATCCCACCCCACCCCCCATCTTGTATAAAACAGCTCTTTTACCCTTTCTAACCCAACACCCACCCAAAATTTCTTCATTCCAAACTGACCTGCAGTTTCTCTTAAAATAAAATATCAGACTAGTTTACCTATTACATTATAAAATACTGGAATTAAAAAAAAAAACCATTCATGCATGTATCAATCCATTCATGCATATATCAATCACGGGCTGTTTCAATTTGCTTGCACTGATGGATGGTTCAGCTGTTTAGTTCTGCTGTCTCATCGATCTCTTCTGGATTCTTGCTCATTTTTTCATATTTTCTTTTGAAGAAGCCAAGCTGTAAAGATGATGATGATAAGAAACTGTTACCATCTATGACTGATTTAGTATGGTGCTTTTAACCCCCTTTGTCCCTAAGTGGTGCAAGTGGTTAACATGTTCTGCTGCGAACTGAAAGACTGGAGGATTTAGTCCACTCAAAGGTGCCTCAGAAGAAAGAGCTGGAGATCTACTTCTGAACCATCAGCCCTTGAAACCCTTTGAAGCACAGTTCTACTCTGGCATGTCATTGCCACTGAATGCAAATTGACTGGATGGCAAATGGTATTTTAACCCATTTTGCTGCCCACTTTCTCTGAAGCACTTCCGAGGAATCCCTGGGACCCTAGACGGTGTAGTATGGAAACTACTGAAGTGGTCTCACCCCCTTGAAGAGCTTAACCAAACTGTATAATCTTAAACTTCTCTGAGTCTACTTGTTTGCAGCTGAACAAAAACATTCAGAGGCCTGGATGAAAGGAAGTTTTTTTTTTAAAAAAAAAAAGAAGATAGGGCCAAGACAAAGGAGAAAAAAATTTCATTGATTGCTTTCAAGAACATGTGTAAGAAAATGTAAATACGCTGTTATTTCCTTTTTCATTATGATAGAGGAAGTACCATATAAAACTTAGAAGTTGCTGTATTACCAAAAGCAAGTGATTGGAAGACACAGAGAGGTGCACAAGAGGTACAGACAACAAAGGTAAATGGTTTTCCATACAGAATATTCTATTATCAGTAACAACAAACACTCTATGGGTAGATACATAGGTTGTTGTTGTTGTTGTTGTTATGTGCCAT